CTCGAGAGAGAGAGAGAGAGAGAGAGAGAGAGAGAGAGGTGTTTGACACAACAACTATATTTGCATTACAATAGTTACAAGTAGAGACCATAGCGGGTCGATGGTCAATGTCGACGGGCAATGACCACTGACAGTGGCATACAAGATTAGAGAGAGTTGTCTTAGATGGTTTGGTCACATTAAGCGTCGATCATTTGATAATCCAATTAGGAGAGTAGATATTTTAGATTCGACATATGTTAATAAAGACGGAGATAGACCTAAAAAGAATTTGACATATTATATAAAAAATTATCTTAATCTATTAGAATTAAATGAAAATATGACAATCAATAAGACAATCAATAAGACAATGGAGAAAAAGAATTTATGTGGCCAGCCCCCCTTAGTGGGCTAAAGGTTTGCTATTGTTGCCGTAGTAGTTTGCCACAAATGTCGTAGTTGATTATTGCAATAGTAGTGATAAGTGATTATAAATATTGGAGTTGGTAGTTGCAACAGTGATAGTTGTTTATAAAGATTGTAGTTGTAAGCTATAATAATAATAGTAAGAAAATGTCATAGTTGGTTGTTTCAATAACAACAATAGTTGTCGATAAAGGTCGTAGTTGGTTGATGCAATAACGACAATTAACTACAAAGGTCGTAGTTTGGCTACAATGATTGCAAGTAGGGGTCGGAGAAGCCTGGTGGTCGACAGTGGTTGATGTTAGTTGTGGGCGGTGGTCGGCGTTGCTCACCTGTCATGGAGGGTGGTGGTTATGGTCAATTATTCAATATAGGTGTTAGATACAATAAGCTGGTTTTTTACAATTTTACATAAAATAATTACACTTTGCTTGATGCAGTGCAAATATATATATATAGGTGTTTGACACAACAACTATATTTGCATTACAATAGTTGCAAGTAGAGACCATAGGGGGTCGATGGTCTGTCGACGGGCAATGACCACTGTCAGTGGCATACAAGATTAGAGAGAATCGTTTTAAACAACTATATTTGCATTACAATACTTGCAAGTAGAGACCATAGGGGGTCGATGGTCAGTGTCGACGGGCATGACCACTAACAGTGGTCGAACTGGGCCGACAACTACGGAAGCTGATGATTATTGTTAGGTCTTCTCTTCATAATAAACTTTGGAATTGCACTTCTCTTTCTTCTCCTCCTCCCTCTCCCAGATAAAGTGAGGTGGGTCTATTTATAGTCTTTTGAAGGGGGTATTTTAGTCTTTTAATGCATGACTTTGATAACCATTAAATCGAACAAGCTTTGTTGACACCCCCCAACTTCTAGATCGTAAATAGCTTAATGAGTTCATAATTTAGTGATCTCAGGCCCGTTGGATTTCCCACATTAATTCAACTATGAATATATCAAATTTGAAATTCATTTGAATATTAAATTGATGATCGAAAGCCTCCAAATTGCTGTGATGACTTAATTTAGGCTTGATTAGACCCATATTGAACCAATTTTGGCTTCATTGAGCTTGTCTTGTTGAGACAGTCAGTTTGATTATAAACTTTGAAATCGGGTCGTGGATGACCTTGAATTTGCGTTTAGAATATTCCTTATAAAAATGCATCGAGACTCATGCTTGTTAAAAACTAGTTGATAACACATCAAATGCTCAATAAAAACTGGTTGACAACACACCAGATTCCTCTAGTCAAATTGCTATGAATACAAAACGATATTAATATTGGTTATGAATACGAAACACTACTAAGATTGGCTACAAAGGGTGTCCGAGTAAATTATGAAAATAAAAATGCATCATAATATCTTGTAACATCCATATTAAAATAGGGATAAATATTTAATTATATAATAGTTAACTCCAAAACCTATAAATTAGGGGGTCCTTTCTGTAAGAAAAGGAGACTAATTTACTGTATCAAAACTAGTGTTAATGTGCTCTCTCTCTCTCTTTTTATTTCTCTAGTCTGTCCCATGATCTATATTTTGGGTATGATTCACAGAACATGTCTGAATTTAACATATATCTAACTTATTTACATACATGACACTTAAATTTTTGAAATCACATAAAAAAATTCCATTGTTATTCACTTCTAAAATATGAAATGTATATTTTCATGCATAATTTTTTTATACTAATATATTACAATTGCAAATCTAGAACTTTAAATATTAACTATATAAATAAGTAAGAATTGTCTAATATGTATATAAATTTTCCTAAATTTTATGACCATCTTATATATTTTCAATAACATGTATCCTATTTAAAGTTTTAATAAATTTTGAGTATTGTGTATTTGAATGTAAATACTCTAATATTTATTAATTGTAGAAATAAATTTTTCATTCATAAATATTTTGATAATGAAATAAATATAAGAGGTCAATTAAAAAAAATAATTAAATACAGAGCATTCAAAATTTTTATGTCTACAAATAAATTCTCAAATTGATTTTTTTGAACAATAAACTTTATTTTTAAATCAAAGCAGTGAGAATTTGATAAGAAAACAAAAATATTAGTTGGTTTTTATTTTGAGAGAACTTGAAAAAACATTGAAAAAAAATGTTAAATTTGTAGCCTAATATCACCTCTCAAAATAACTTTTAAAGATGGTGGGCAGCCCAAGACTTAAATACTATTTTTCGGTCCTACACCTAGCCCTACACCTAGCCGATGTCCGTGACATTCTCCTCCACCCAATCACGTGACGCCCTCGTCACGGATCCCCCCCCTCACGGATCGGCTCCACCGATTGTCCCATTTCCCATTTGATCATAGAGAATTCACACATCTGACAGATAATAACGTGTTCTAATATCATTTATCATCTCTTAAAAGCTCTTAGTGGCATCGAGCAGCCCAAATCTTATACACCTAATCACCGAAATCGAATCGATGTGGACTATTTATCGGTGACACTGAGCTAAGGCTCGCTCCTCTGCTCGCGTTTTGTAACCCTTGATGTGCCGCGAAGGCCGCAGTTCTTATAACTTAAGAAGGAGGTTTTGCGAGGTCTCGCAGGTCTTTCGCGAGCAGAGACAATGGCGGAAAAACTGACGGTCTCCATGCTGCGACGAATTCAGTTCATCCTGCTTATCTTTGTCTCCTCTCAATACCCTCTCGGATTCTCCTCTCCTTCGTCGGATGTGCGGATTCTTAGCGCCGAGAAAAGGGTAAGTGTTACGATCGATCCAATCTTCCCTAGTTCTGCTGTCGATTCATAGTATCAAAATTTGATATTCATACAAAACTTCGAAACCCCCCGGAGTTGCGTGTTGTATCTGTTTTTAAGGAAAAAAAAAAATCAAATCTCGGGAATCCCATCTATCTGTTTTTCTGTTTCTTTTTATGAATTTTGTGCTTGGTTTTTGGTTTTCGTTAAATTAACTTTGCTATTGAATTTTGCTTTCTGGTTTTAGTCGCATGTCTTAAAACTTTATTCGTAGAGGGATTTCCTAGAACGAATGCAGATTGTCATTCTGGCAGTGTTCGCCTTGTGTTATCTTCTTCTTTGTTGGTTATTTTTTTTCTTAATGCTAAACTGAATTTGATGGTAGAACAATATTAATTTGCGATCATGGCATTGTGATTTTTTAATCCTCTTAAGTTTATGGCTTTTTGACTCATCAGCTCGAGGATCAACTACAAGGTCTTGAATTGGATGAATCATCTTTCTTATGAGAAGCTGAAGGGTTCTCTTTTTCTTGCTTGAAAAGAAAAATGAAAGATGGTTTCATTGTTGGATTTGTAGACATTCCGGAATGAAAAGCTACCTGAAACAAAATCTGAAAGTTTTACAGGATAGTTGAGCTTATAATCATTGCAAAGGATTGTTACAGATACTATTCAAATTTTCTGTGTTAAGAATTAGTCTACTAATGCTTCATAAATTCTAACAGTTCATTGTAGCTTCCATTTGTCAGAGCAACCAATGTTTGGAAGACAAATCTGCTTATGCAGTGTCTTGTATGATTTATAGTTGACGTTATCTTTGCAAAAGCATCCCTTGGATGGGAGAGAATTGTGCTCAATAGTGCCTTGGTAGCCTGATATTGTCACTTACCATGCTCTTAGGATAGTTCCTCGAGCTTAAAACCACATGAACAACAACAAGCCTTTATCCCACTAAGTAGGGTCGGCAATATGAATTCTTCTTCTCCATAGTTCCTCAAGCTTAAAACCAAGCGCGAAAAATTAAGCTGTGGAATTAGAGCCCAAGTGATGTAAATATAAACAAATAAAGTGTATATTATAATATGAGTAGATGTGTAAGGTATGGTCACGGTTTTAACAACCTTTTGAAATTCAATCAAAGTGGATGCGAACATTAATATTCTAATTTACTAACACGTTAAAAAGGAATATAACAACATTCTAACTAAATAAGAAGTAATTAATTGCATAAAATTAGAAGAAACATGTTAATATCCTAAAATCAAATTATGAAATAAGATGGATTATACAAACATTAAGCTATTAAAGTAAGATAAGATATAAAATAAAATACTAAAACATCAAAACATAACAATCAAAATAAGTTCGACATTAAACTTTCACTCTCACTTATACCATCCCCCACTTAAATAAGATTATAACAAGTCATCAACATTTGAATTTTTAATTTTAAAGTCCCTATTACTCTCATTATCCAATTAGATTTTATGAGGATCATCGCATGATAAATTATTTATTTTGTGCCTTACCTTTTGTCGTATCTATTATCTCATTCCTTATTATTTTTAATCCCATTTTTTTTTTTCTATTTTTTAATGAATAATCATTAATAAAAATATTAATTAAAATAGTAAATTTGTTGATAATTAAAACTTCAACTTCATAAATTTTTATGAATACATTTTTTTTCTTGTTATTTAGTGTGTAAGGTGCAAATGTTAATTGTTGAAATATATTAAATTTGCTTTTAATTTTGTTTAAAAATTATGGATAGCCTCAAAATTTGAGGTGTCTTTTTGAGGCAAGGCGTGCCCTAAGGCCCGCCTTAGCTTGGGTGAGCGAACACCTTACCTTGAGGCAACGAGAAATAGGCCTTAGTACGATTTTTCTGAAAAAAGCGCTGAGATGAGCCACAAGATGGGCCTATTATTGCGCAATTTTAAAGAAGGCATCTATTTATGTCATGCTTGTCGGGAATATTTTTAAAATCAAATATTTATATACCTACCACTCAATTCATATGTACTTACATATCTAACACCTAAACTTAAATTTTTACATACATGCCACCTTACCTATGCATGAAAAGGTGTCTTTCACTTTCTAAAAGTTAAAATGGTAGTACTTTTGACGTGATATGAAAGATTTGGGTGTTATAAATGTAAAGAAGTAAAATTTTGGTCTTATATATGTGACAACATAGGAATTGAGTGGTCTGTATATAATCACCCCATACAAAATGTGCTCTTTCAAGTGGTGTATTGATCACATGAAATGTCTGCTCATTTGCTACAATTTCCATGCCAATCCTTTTCATATATCTATGGATATGCACAGCTCAAAGGCTGTAGCTGCCATACAAAGATTTAGAGATAGGATTTCTATTTTTCTTCAAATTGTAATAGACTTTTGATACACTCTTTTTCTCTCTTCATTGTGCTTCTCCAAACACATCACTTTTCTATGATTTTTTGGCTAAAATTCACTGCAATTTTGTTTCTTCGACCATCAATGAGCAATTTGAAGAGAAAATAGGGATTAAGTGTAGAGAGGTGTGAGATTTGACCTACAAATTGGAGGAAATTATTGTAATCCATTTTGTCCAAGTCAAAGTCATTATGTAGCAGCTTCAATTCAATAACCACTTATGGATAAAATTCTAATGAATATGAGTTAAGGGGATTAGAAAACCAAATCTGTAACGAATTTAGAATTAGATGCAAATAAAATGAAATTTTTAAAAGGCCTAAACAAATCCTTATTTAAAGCTTCAACAAATTTTTTGAATCAATTGAAAAAAAAAGCTTAATTCAATTCAAATCTCAAATTTCAATTCAAATATTAATCAGAAAGAAAAGAATAAGAAAGATTAAGAAAATGACTGAATTGAATTCAAACAAAATATAAAAAATTCAATAATAAGAAAAAAATCTGAAAGATTTTTTTTTTTTTTGAATGTGATAACAAAGGGAGAACAATACAATCAATGCTAGTAGTGCAAAGAAGTTCTTCAATTTTTTTGTAGAAATGTTGTCCTCGGCCCATATCAAATAATAGTATGATTATATAACCCTAGGAAAGGATGCTTACAGGTCTTGCTCTAACTTGTAATAACATAAAATTTTCATTGTAAAATAGCAAAGCAACCACTCTTTTCAAGCATAGCATAAGACAATGGAACAATCTTGTCGTTGTGCAACTCTATTCCTAAGATTTTTTTAAATGTTTGAAAAGAAATTTATCGCCATGAGATTTTTTTACCTAAATAACAACTCTTGCATGAACACCAAATTGAGCGAATGAATTGACATTTGTGGGTGAATTGAAGAAAAAACATGATTAAAATTTGAATCGAGAGGAGTAACTATTTAAAAATTATATGCATGCTTTGACAATATACATGATGGGAATAATAGAATTAATTTATCTATTGAATATTTTAAAATGTATTTTGGTATACTACATGTTGGGAATTGTAGAATTTCCTCTAATCAATGAGACTTAAATTAATAATTTATTGGTAACTGAAAGTCCTACTCCATTCATGATGGAAACATTCTGTTAGCCTTTGATCCAAGTGTTCCATTAGACACTAGCTACTATTTGTTGGAGTGCTACTTTTTCTTGCTATTGTAAAAACATCTCCTCACAAGTGTTTGTTGGTGAGATTGCTACAACAACAACAACAAAGCCTTAATCCCACTACGTGGGGTCGGCTACATGAATCCTATTTCTCCACTGCGTCCTATTTAGTGTCATATTTTCATTTAGTTCTAGTAAATTAAGATCTTTTTTAATATAATAAGTCCAATTCTTCCTAGGTCTACCTCTGCCTTCCTTAACACAAGTCGAATCTAAAACATCTACTCTCCTAATCGAATCATCAGATGGTCGACGTTTAGTGTGACCAAACCATCTAAGACGACTTTCTCTAATTTTGTCCGTCACAGGAGCTACACCACCCCTATCACGAATATATTCATTTCGCATTTTCTCTAAGTGTAAAGCTACTCATCCACCTAATCATTCTCATCTCGGCAACACTTAACTTATTATTATGCTTCTCTTTTAAAGGCCAACATTCAACGCCATAGAGCATTGCAGGTCTCACCACCGTCTTATAAAATTTTCCTTTCAGTCTAAGCGGTACTTTTCTATCACACAAAAGACCCGAAGCATTCCTCCACTTCAACCAACCAACTTGAATTCTCCTATTAACATCCTCATCTATATCACCATCGCTTTGAACAACGGACCCTATATATCTAAATCGTTCACACTTTTTAATAATTTGATCACCCAAAGTCACACTTCTGTCTCTAGAGCTATTAATACTAAAATTACATTCCATGTATTCAGTTTTAGTTCTAACTTTCATAATTCAAGTTTTTCCTGGGTTTTTTCTCTCGTTTTATCCACGAGAAGGATATCATCAGCAAAAAGCATACACCAAGGTACATCCTCTTATAGATGTTTAGTAAGACCATCCATAACTAAAGCAAAAAAGATAAGGGCTTAAAGCCGATCCCTGATGTAATCCAACAGAAATAGGAAAATATTTGGTCAATCCTCCTTCAGTTTGAATGACTTGAATATAAGTCATATCAACACCTTTCTTCTCGAGGACTCTCCAAAGGATATCTCTTAAAACCTTATCGTAAACTTTCTCTAAATCAATAAAAATCAAATGTAGATTCTCGTAATACGTTTTAACCTATGTTCAATTAGCCTCTCCCATAATTTGAAAGTATGACACATCAACTTAATCCCTCTATACTTTGCACACTCTTGTGCATCACCTTTATTCTTAAAAATAGGGACTAAAATACTCTTCCTCTACTCCTCAGGCATCTTTTTAGTTTTTAAAATAATATTAAAAAGTTTAGTAAGCCAAGAAACTCCCAAATCTCTTAAATATTTATTCACATTTCAATTGGGATCATCAGGTCCTACAGACTTTCTACCCTTGGTTTTCTTTAAAACCTCCTCAACTTCTTTT